CACGATCAAATGATCACTCTGTGACTGTGAGTGTCAACACTTCGTCGTCTTCTCTTTCATTCCTTTTTGAGTCGTTAAGAAGGAAGCTCGAGGTCGAGCTTCCATGGATTCAATAAAATGCAGCTCCAGTTTCCTCCATCGAACCAAACTCAACATTCTCTTCTCTAACCACACTTCCCCTAAAATCTCCACGCCCAATTTCAAGCGACTCTTTCGTCCGTCTTCGCGGCCATTATCGCTTTCCGCAAAGGACAGAAGAAGTAACATCGAAGCTGAAAATGTCGTCGTAGTGGAGAAACCTCTTAAATCGGAGAGATTTCTTATCTCCGATGGACTTCCTTCCCCATTCGGCGCCACCGTCAGAGACGACGGCGTCAATTTCTCTGTTTACTCTGCAAACTCCGTCTCCGCCACCATCTGCTTGATTACTCTCTCCGATCTCCGTCAGGTTTAGCCATTCACGCGAGTGATTTTTCTCTGATTCGATTTTAATCCATTTTTGTAGAAATCCTTTTTGTTTGTTTGCAGAACAAAGTGACTGAGGAGATTCAGCTCGATCCATCAACGAATAGAACCGGCCATGTTTGGCATGTGTTCTTGAAAGGAGATTTCAAAGATATGTTGTATGGTTACAGATTTGATGGGAATTTTTCTCCCGAAGAAGGTCACTATTATGATTCTTCCAATATTTTATTGGATCCTTATGCAAAGGTAAACTGAAATTGAAGTTTTCTGAGTAAAGAAATAGAGTACTTTTGCTGGCCTCTAACTTTATTCCTTATGGTTTGGTAAAGGCGATAATAAGCAGAGATGAGTTTGGAGTTTTGGGAGCTGGTGAAAATTGTTGGCCTCAAATGGCGTGTATGGTTCCCACTCTTGGTGAAGAGGTACAAATTGTTGTTTCTTTAGTAACTAAATCATTTGATAAAATTTAAAAATGTGATGTTATTGGTCCTTTTCTGCTATTTTAGTTTGATTGGGAGGGGGATATGCATCTGAAGCTTTCACAGAAGGATCTTGTCATATATGAAATGCATGTGCGAGGTTTCACAAGGCATGAATCTAGCAAAATTGAATTCCCTGGCACATACCTGGGTGTTGCAGAGAAGCTTGACCATTTGCAGGTACTGGCTAGCAAATATCTACCATTGTGAATTTTCTTTTCTACTGAGAAAAAGCTTACTATCAATAGTTTCTGGGTGAAATTTTTAGATGCTTCTGTTTATATAAGTAGATTTGTTGCTAGCATATTCATTTGTTTCAACACTGAATTCGTCCTTTCTGATCATCATGGGATGATAGCCCAGTTTATCAACTTCATTACGGTATGTGCGTACATAAGATTTTTAGTTTTGCAAAGAGCTGCCTTGGTTAATTCAGACAAGTTTTGGTGATTTGAACGATGCAAACATTTTTTTTTTTGAATAATGGTGTGCTTAGCAAGAGCCTTATCTAACTGAAAATATTATCAAGTAGAGATTAGAACTGCCAACTTTAAATTGTTTACATATTGACAGGAGCTTGGGATAAATTGCATAGAATTAATGCCATGTCACGAGTTTAATGAGCTGGAGTATTACAGCTACAATACGATATTGGGAGACCATAGGTATGCCATTTGACCAGATGCCTTTGATTAATAACGATACTTCCGGATGATATATTTTGCTCTCAATTTTTTGTTGAATGACTTCTGAGATGAACAAGCTGCATAGTAGATACCACTTGTAGTTAGCATTTGTTGGTACTAGCATGTGTCAATTAATCTCAAGAAATTCTTCAACTAGGATTGTTGTTGTCTTAGGAAACTTTTGATTAATGAGGGGTGAAATAACACAGATAATATCACATATCTGGAATACATGTATTGAGCAAGCTCTCTCACACGAAATCATACCATCATTAACTATCACAAAGTAACTCAGTTAAATCTTTCATCATGTAGCATATCTAATCAGGTTGACTTGCTTGTTCAGGGTAAATTTTTGGGGTTACTCTACCATTGGGTTCTTCTCGCCCATGATCAGATACTCATCATCGGCAAGCTCTCGCAACTTTGCTGGAAGAGCCATAAATGAGTTCAAAAGTCTTGTTAAAGAGGCACATAAACGAGGAATTGAGGTGACAACTAGTTTCCAAGTAGCTAAATATTTGGTGTTAGGTCTATAGATGCAGTTCTTGATAAATTTTAAGCAGGTCATCATGGATATCGTTTTGAACCACACAGCCGAAGGCAATGAAAAAGGACCCATTTTCTCATTTAGAGGAGTTGATAACAGTGTTTATTACATGCTTGCTCCAAAGGTAATGCTCATCAAGCAGTCATGTGTTTCCTTTTCGATAGTATCACTGCTTAGGGAACGAGAGACAATCAAAAGATCTGTGGAATATAAATCTGAAATTTAGATATCTTTTTGACTTTTTCTTCTGCCTGGTAAATCATAAAGTAGACACACTCAATAAACTAAGTCACCTTGCTGATTGGAAATTCTAGTTATTGGTCGGTCCAGTAACTTATTATGCATCAGAAAGCTGTAGGAACCTCCTTTTGGATTTTCTGCACGATCTTTACATAACTCTGCTAGGTCGATCAAAGTAGAATATTTTCCACCCAATGATGATATCTAAGGCAACACCCATAATACTTCTGGTTTTCTAGTTTGGAGTCTCATACAGATAATTTTGAAATGATTCTTTATTACTGAATCTAAAGTTTATTCATATTTTGTGATTTAATAGGGCGAGTTCTATAATTATTCAGGATGTGGTAATACATTCAACTGCAATCATCCTGTGGTGCGTCAATTCATAGTGGACTGCCTGAGGTAGTTTCCAAAACAGAGTTATATTCATTGTTTTAGTGCTCACTCTCATGGTCTCGTGGTACACGTTCTAATATTCCTCTGGCTTTATGTCTAATGCCTAGGCCTTCTTTCTGACATAAATATTCTTCGGCAATTTTTTATGATTACATCCAAAATATAATGTAATCCTCATATTCTACCCTGGATACTTTGAAATAATCATTTTGAGTTTACCTGCTTTCTGATGACTAAATAAACTTTACGTTGATTTCCGAAATTTAATTTATTTCATGCTCTTTTCTCATCAGTTAACTCCTCCTAAGCCTGTTAAAATCTCTTTCTTTGAACAGATATTGGGTAACAGAAATGCATGTCGACGGCTTCCGCTTTGATCTTGGTTCGATCATGTCAAGGACCAGCAGGTGCAAATGTTCTAGAGTACGTCAAATGACTGCTTGTTTGGTCCATGTGTTTCTGGAATATTTATTGTTCTATTCTTGTTAGCCTTTGGGATGCAGCCAATGTTTATGGGGCTGATGTAGAAGGTGACTTGCTGACAACTGGGACCCCTGTTAGCTGCCCTCCAGTAATTGACATGATAAGTAATGATCCAATACTCCGTGGTGTTAAGGTAATGAACTAATTTCCGATATTTCCTCTTTATTAGCATCGATTTTCATTGTTTAGAGGCATATTGCATTTACTTTGGCTTCGATTGCGTGCAATTCTTGATAAAAGCGTTATTGCATGTGTGGCATTCTACCTAGAACGTGATAGGTATCAAGGAGACTTATAAGTCACAAGTGGCTTTCCCTTCCATTAGTTGTAGTTACGCTGGTGCATCTGTTACGCATTAATGGTTACCATATTATGCATATGCTTAAATTTTCACTTCATCACAGATGCAGATGACTTAGGTTCTAGGATATTAATATAAGATATTATTAACAGAATCACATTCCTAAGTCTTTTGATAGTATCTTATAGGTGTTATTGGATGTAAATACTTTCATCAATATAGGATCTTTATCGACGGGATATCTACTTGTTATGTTTCTTCTTTAAAACAGCTAATAGCTGAAGCATGGGATGCGGGTGGGCTATACCAAGTTGGGATGTTTCCACACTGGGGTATTTGGTCTGAGTGGAATGGAAAGGTCAGTAAATGTATTACGAGGATGAACTGCTTTTCTTTTTGCTGTTTTAGATATTCGGCACATGAAACCTATGCATGCACTCGTAGAAAGGGATATGGAAAAGTAAGTGTCACAGTGTATAAGGGTTTCAAGCCAAATGTGATGTAATTATTGATGGTTATGCATCTTTCTGCTGACCATTATAATCTGCTCTAATCAATTAAAAAGGCACAGTCTATGTGATCTGCCTGTACTAGTGAACAGAAATGTATATCACTGTATTAGTGATGAACATGGAAGTCATAATCTTATCACCCAAGAGACAACACTCTGACATGGGACAAGAATAAATGAATGTGCAGTTCTTGTTCAGTTCTCGTAGCAATTTCCATTGTGTGTGTGCATAATATCTATCATCATTGTTAATTTAATATAGGACAGTGACTTTCTTGTCCATTTCAGTTCCGTGATGTTGTGAGACAGTTCATAAAAGGCACTGATGGCTTTTCCGGTGCTTTTGCTGAATGTCTCTGTGGAAGCCCAAATTTGTACCAGGTAAAGTTAACTTCTATTATCCTGCCTGATATCTAACTAGGCTAGGCTTTACCAATGAGTTGATACTAGGGCTGAAAATTAGGATATTGGGGAATGCTCTTATTCATGGATATTTGTTTGGCTGCCTTCCAGCGATTCAATTTAGTAAAGAAAAGATTTTACTTTTTCTTAACCAGGTATTTGTTGTGGTTCTGTTGAAAACCATTGTATATCATTCTTGATCTGTTTCAGAAGGGTAGTGATATACTGACCTACCCCATGGAACTGTTATTTTCTCCAATCTAAGTTTCTCATGCTGGTTTCTTTTTTCCATTTTACACTGCCCAGCTTACTTGTGTCTTAGGATAAGAATGTCAGATACATACATAACTAATCTTTTTTCTTACACACATAACTAATCTTTATGGTGTTCTCTTGGTTACTTTGTCTGTGAAGCTTCATATTTTTGCTGTATATCTTAACTGGTGTCCGATTGTGTCTGTGCATCAGGGAGGTAGGAAACCTTGGCACAGCATCAATTTTGTATGTGCGCATGATGGTTTCACGTTGGCAGATTTAGTAACTTACAACAATAAGAATAACTTGGCAAATGGAGAAGAGAATAATGATGGAGAGAATCACAATTGCAGCTGGAACTGTGGAGAGGTAGGGCAAATGTGTGGAACTTGTTTTTCTCCGTTTCACAATTTTTTTTTAAGTATGATGGCTTTAATATTCGTTAGTATTATTACTAGAAATCATTCCTCTTTAAAAGTTATTAAATATAAGATATTTCTCAATATTCATAAAAATTAGCGCTGTGTATCAAGTTCAAAACCCGAAATGAAATTGAAATTGCACTTTCACCTAAACTAAAAAGGTTTCATTTAATTGGAATTGGGCTGCAGGAAGGAGACTTTGCGAGTATCTCGGTGAAGAGATTGAGGAAACGACAGATGCGAAATTTCTTTGTTTCCCTCATGGTTTCCCACGTAAAGCTAACCATTTCTTACTTCTTTTATTTATATTCCTGCTTAACCTCTTTTGACTGGTGTTATGCAAATTGAACTTTGATACTATAGTAGAGGTCATGAGTTCAAAATATCAAACCACTGGAGAATCTAATCAACCCCACTAGCAATTTAAGTATTATGCACTATTTGTTTGCATTTGTAACGTGTTAAGTGATGTCTCTTTTCTGAATGTTGTGATCTGTTTCATTTTTATTTGCGGTACTGCCTTTTCAGATTGTGATATACTGCTTAACCTTCTTTTTTTCCGGTCTTTGTGAACTATTTACCACCAGGGAGTTCCAATGATCTACATGGGAGATGAATATGGCCATACAAAAGGGGGAAACAACAACACTTATTGCCATGACAACTATGTAAACACTTAATTCATTTTTTCCAGGGTGATTTTTAAGTTGTTTGTTTTTTATCTTAGCTTTTGAATGTTAACACAATTCTTATGCAGTTGAACTATTTTCGGTGGGATAAAAAGGAAGAAGCACATTCTGACTTCTTCAGATTTTGCCGTCTTCTTATCAAGTTTCACGAGTATGTAATATTCTTTTATAAGTATTTCGCTTTTAATTGCTTAGATGATCGCTTCACATGGTTTTAAATCCTTTCATTTGTAGTGAATGTGAATCACTTGGCCTGAACGACTTCCCAACAGCAAAGCGTCTGCAATGGCATGGTCTTGCTCCTGGAATGCCAGATTGGTCTGAAGCAAGTCGATTTGTTGCATTTTCACTGGTACTTATACCCTATTTTTCTTTGTCGTGTAGGTCGCTGTCTCTTGTTTGATAGCTTTAGAAGCTTAAAGTCTTGCATGGACAGCTTCTTTTGTGGAAGATTTCTAACCTCTGTTCATTTATTTTTCTGCAGGTGGATTCTGTGAAGAGAGAAATCTATGTGGCCTTCAACACGAGTCATTTAGCCACACTTGTTACACTGCCTGACCGTCCTGGATACCGATGGGAACCATTTGTAGACACGAGCAAACCAAGCCCTTTCGACTGCATAACACCGGACCTCCCGGAGAGAGAAACGGCCATGAAGCAATATAGACACTTTTTAGATGCAAATATGTACCCAATGCTCAGTTACTCTTCCATCATTCTCCTTCTCTCACCAATTGACGATAACTGATTTTCCTCAAAAGTAAGTATATATATATATAAAGTATAAACCAGTGTCACATTGTAAAATCTTCTTTAAAATTATGTAATTTTTTCCATTGTTTGTTTATCACAAACAACAAATAGACTTCCAAATGTCAATCAAATCAAATAAACAATTACGATAAAAACAGAAGTCTCTCAAAATCTTTGGGGTTTTTTATTCAAGAAATTGAAGAGTAGAGAGACCCCTATGGAAAAAACAAAAAAACGAAGTGATGGACGATACAATTACAAACAAGATCTATGTAATGTAATCTCTCAAAAGTCAAAACCATTTGACGATACAACAGAAAGAAAAAAAGTAACCCAGTACACACAGGTCATGGAAACTAAAAAAGATTAACCAAATCTTTATCTACAAACCTTTGCTTTGAGTTGGGACCATCATGGCTACTTGAGGACTCTAACGGTTGGTGGACAATCTGTTCTCTGACCAGCCAATGAGTAGTATGCCAATATATGAGCCGGATGCTCCATCTCTCTTACCTCTCCTTGTTGATTCACTTCCGGTACTCTTCTAGACGGAATCAGCTCTATGTTCCAGTACGGTCGAGCCATCGCCATCAGATCTTGTCCCGTCATCGATGCTCTGTAACCTTGTACCCACAGGTATCTCAGCGAAGGTATTTTCATTACCGCTGCAGCGATTGCTCGCTCGCTGAAGCAACAACCTCTCATCTCTAGCTTCTGTAGACTCGGACAACCTCTTGAGAATTCCATTAGACCTTCGTCTGATTCACCTACGTAACCGAGAAGCATCCATCTCACGTTTGGACTGTACTGCCCGATATAGCTTAAGCCTACGTCGGTTAAGCCTCCTTGTCTGACATAGAATGCAAACCGCCTGAGTTTCTTGCATCCGATCAAGAGGGATCGGACTCCATTGTCCAGTGGCAAATCTGTTATTGTCTCTTCCCGGTCGAGTAAGACAAGGCGGAAGTCGCAGAGGTTTTTAAGATATGTGCCTATGCTTTCAAGAGATTCGTTGGTTATGTCTGAGACGTACACAGCCATGTATTCTAGCTCCTGGCAGCCCTGAGCCAAAGCGATTAATCCTCTTTGTGAGACTAAGCCTTCTTCGTCCTCCATTCCTTGTTCATCTGCACCCCGCTCAATCCTCAACCGCTTCAACTGCTTACAATACTGTGCAAGAACTTCTAGACCCCTATCTCCAATTACATTCCTAGTCTGAAATACAGCAAGAATTGTCAGACACTTATAGATCTAAAGGGAAACTGATATTGCATTCATCATATCCTTTATTCTTATATGGTTTTTTATGTCTAGTACATTTCACACACTTGAAGATCAATGCATTCATGATAGTTGGATGGTGTGGAGGCTGATAAGTAAAAATACTGAATTACTCACTAAGCAATCTATCATGAACAAAGAGGATAAGCATTTTATAGGAGCATCATTCACCACTAAACACGCTGGCCTAAATATGTAGGAACAAGAAAAGACAGCAAGTTTTACCTCGAGAACTTCCAAATTAGGACACTTTTGGATTAGCGTACAATGATCTTCAGTTTCCAACAATGCATAAAGCAAATCCAGTTTCCGGATTTGAGCGGCGAATGGGAATAGTATTGGCATTTCATTAGGTCCCAAGTAAGAGAGGCCTAAGCGACTTAGTTTTCGGGGGAAACTCAGATTCATGTATTTCTCAGGTCTTCCAATATCCTCATTCAAGGAGCCACCACAAAATTCTTCAAGGTTAGCTGCAGCTTTAAAGAAGCCAACCAGTTCCAAAATCTCAAAGTCACCAACCTTCACAGAACTCAGATTCCGGCAATTTCTAGCTATGCTTTCCAAGTCTTTGGGGCTGATTTTGGCAAACTCCGTCATGTAGAAATTTAATACCTCAAGAGATGTGTTGTTCTGAGCAAGCTCATGAAGCCACTTACCATCCTTTTCAACAAAAGAACTCTCTTCCATTAAAAATGTTTTTATTTTCCTGGAGAAAACAGCAGACAGTAGCATGAACAAAGAAGTGAGAATCAACTCAAGATTATAGCTTCAGCAACCAAATCAAGGATGCAAGATTGATATGATAAACATGAACTCGTAGAAACTGCAAATGTCAATTTCTGCCATTTATGTATATATAACCACAAGTTCAAACTACAGTAAGAAGTCAAATGAAGCACCGAAGAAGACAAAATATACCCAATTGAGCTAAAGAGACATCAAATCTTCCCAGAAACAATCTTAATGATATCAAGAAGAAAGAGGCAAAGTGCAATCTTGTTCTACTCGTAGTAGGAAATGAGATTCAAAGTTAAAGATGCAGCAAACTCAGTTCTTGATGCTCAAAAGTACCTGCAGTGTTTAACGATGCTCAAGAGCCCATCAGTAGAGAAACCAGAGCACTTATCAAGCTTCAAAGCCTCGAGTTCATCTGATCTCGACCTAGCAAGAACATCCAGATCCAAATCGCTAACAATCATCCTCCGGAAATGCACAGATTTAAGCTGCCTCAAAGAGAGAGCAATCTCATTAACCCAAGGAGTAACATAACCTCCCCAGTTCTCAGGAATCAGATTGAACATAGCAGCTCGTGGCTTCCCTTTAAGCTTGAGCGACCTCAAATTCGGAAACCTCCGGGACAAACGATCAGGAGTCGCCGTGTAGCACAGAGCCATCGTGACGTGCTCCCTAGTATCGGAATCAATCTTGAACCATCTCCGACACACCAGAGAAGCGCAATCTCGATCTTTCGACTCGGTTATGTAAGGCATCACTTGCTCGATGACGTCATCCACCGTAACACCGCTTAATCTACACTTTTTGAGATCGGGATCCTCCATCTTCGATATCGAATCTTCGAGATTCGATTGTTTATTCCGTCGAGCAACAAGCAAAAACCGAGGACGAATCTGAAGTCGCAGATCCAAAAACTCAC